TGTGGATGCATGCATGCATGCATGTTCCTGTGGGGGGGGGGTGAGTGCATCTGTCTTTTATGCAACTAGAAAGAGAACCATAAAATCAAAGATAAAAATCTTAACAGTGGGGGAGGTGTGAGAGAAAAAAAGAGAAGGTAAATTAAAATCTTGTGACATGAAAACCAAAGGGGAATGTGGTGATTTGAATGAGAATGGCCACAACAGGAGCATTTGTTTTAACTCTTGTTCCTCAGGCGGTGGAAAATTCTGGGAAGGACCAGGAGGTGTGGCCTTGTTGGAGGAGTTATGTCGCTGAGGGTGGGATTTAAAGTTTCAAAAGCCCACATCATTCCTGTGTAGATTATTCTGCCTCATATTTGTGGACCAAGGTGTAAGTGCTAAGCTCTTGCTCCAATGCCATACCTGCTTACCTGCTGCCCTACTGCCTGCCTCTAGGTCACAGGCTCTATCCCTATGACACTGGAAGCCCCACGTAAGTTCTTTATTTTATGAGTTTGCTTTGGCCATGGTGTGTAATCACAGCAGTAGAAAAGTAGCTAAGATAGGGTGCTATTTGGAGTAAAGAAAGGGACAGCTCCAGGGTGAGAGTGTGTGAGAGTTGAGAGTGGGCAGGGGGATAAATAAAAGCAAAGAATAAGTACATACATATATGGAAATGTCATAATAAACCAGTTCTTTGTATGATAACTTAAAAATTTTTACATAGGAGGGTAAGAAATAAAGAAGTAAGGAAAAAATGAGGAAGGAAGGAAGGGAGGGAGGAGAGAGAGAAAGAAGGAAGGAAGAAGAAAGAAAAGAAGGAAGGAAGACAGTCGAGAGGGAAGGAACTAAGTATTTAGTCAACTAATAGAATAAAATAAATAAACAAACAAATAAATAAATAGATAAATAAATAAATAAATGGCTGAATAGAACTTGTGTGTTTGGTTAAAACCAGTATTTGCTGAGGTGAGGTTCTAAACACCCAGGGAAGACCATGTCTATGGAGGAAAGCCATTAATCCATAGTCACACTGACTATGTAAAAGACAAAAGTAGAAATTTACTGAGAGTCACTTAATAGAAATACAAGCAATGCACAAACATGAGCCACAGATCTCTCTGAATCATTGGAATTAATTTTCCCCATAGAGTAACTCGATATATCCTCATAGCATTTCAAACTTCACCAGTAATAGCAAATTGTTGAACCATGTCATATTGTTTTTCATTATAAAAGTATGGCACCTAATTTATCCTTGGAGCATATCTCAACTTATCCTAGCCACATTCCATGCGTTCAGTAGCCATGTTTGCCTGGTGACCAACAACCAATGCAGACTGAAGTGTAGTAGAGCAGCTGGACTAGAAGAAAGATTTGGGAATCATCACTGAGGTGAAAATAGCCCTGGTGGCTTGGGAAGCATATGTGTTTGGAGGAAAAGAAAAGTTTACATATCCACCAAAGACATTGGCATTTAAAGGAAAGAGAAGGGGTGTGATGGTGACTCCAAGAACACTGTGTTTTTCAGACACAACAAAGCAGATGAACATATGAACTCACAGAGATGATAACAGCAAGCATAAGATCTGTGTAAGTTCAAGCTAGACAAAAGGACACCATGAAAGAGGGGAGGTGGACATGAATTCCACCACTAGCTGAGGAGCCATTCACAAATGATTAATATTGGGGAAGGGAAAGACAGGTTTGCTCAATGAAGTGACACCTGGCATATCAATCAAGATAGGTTCCATCCTGTCAGCACAAACTGGACTCAATGAGGGAGTAGGGGGTGGCGAAGTTGGGGAGGAAGTAAAGATAATCAAAATGCACTGTACGCAATTCCCAAAGAATTAATAGGAAACATCTGAAATGAAGACCTACATGCATACACACACTATTGACAGCATTATACTTCATCAGTGTAATTACACATGGAAGCAAAGGAAATTATATAAATCTAGAGACAGGAAGAAGATCAGGGTATAGGAGTTAAGACGGCTCAGCAGTTAAAGGTCTGCCAGCAAGCCCTCCCCCCCAAAAAAATCTAAGTCCAATTCCAGGAACTATATGGTAGGACACTCTTCTCTGACCTCCATATAGGTATCATGGTCGACATGTGTCCCTCCACACACAATAAATAAATACAAAATGTGATTAAAATTTTTAAAAAGAAAACTTCCACAACTCTGTGAGTCCTTTCATCAGTACAGGGCTATGGTAAAGCAGTGTTTACTGACAATATAGTCTAAGATAGACTTAAGGTCCTGACTTAACGTCATTGTCCTGGGGCTCCTGGAAGGATGCTGCTAGAAGCAAGAGCTTCCAAGTAAACACTTTCCATTATACCACCAAGAAGATGAAGCGTGATGTCATTTAACAAATGATAAACTTGACTCGGCCTTTTACAGGGCAGCCGTTAGTTCTTCGCTTGGACATTGGGTATCATGATCAATTTCAAATATTGACTTGATCCCGTCACCCAAACTGCTAGTGTTGGGTCACAGAGTCTTAAAAAACTATACCACAGCTCTGGGCTCCAGTCAGGTACAAACAAAAGTGTGAGAGAGAGACAGTGTCCTAAGGTCACTAATGTCAAACAAAAAATTTAGGTATAGTGAAAAGGAGCCAGAGATGGGGCTTAACAGAAAAGAAATCACACCCCCAAGTATTGGATTTTAGCAAATGGGAGGAGAGCAGGGCTTTGCTTATGCAGACATGTAAAGCCTCACTCCTTGCCCTCTGGGGACTGCTTGCTGAGAGAAGGGGGCAACAGCTGAAAGTGAAGACAGCAGCATTTGCCCCGGGGCAAACAGCACAACAAATTAATCCTTTCTCCATGAAACACAACAAAGTTTGTATCTAAGCTGAATTCAAATTGCTCATTAGCAGTGACATGTTCCTAATGAGGTTATAATGCTCTGGGACAAAGATCAAGCCACTGAGCACTGTGAGGGAGGGCTAGAAGCGAAGTGTGTGTAATTAGAAGGACCTGGGAGCAGGGTTGTCCAAAGGTTCCTTTGCGTCACCTGGGCTTGCTCATTCGGGATGTCTGAGCTCCGTGCTCAAAGTCTGCACTTCATGCTTCCTCCTGCTGCTGCGTGCTGCCCCATACACTCTTAAACTGTAGGCCTCCCAGCTCACTGCAGTCCCAACAGCCTTCTCCTAGTGAGGGAACAGAGCGAAACCACCACCCACCACCGGGTGCCTGCCAAACTTCCCTGGGACCAGTTTGTGACAGCTGAGTATTTGGGCATAAACCTGTGGACTGACTTGAAATTTCAAAGTAGACGGGCAACAAATCCTCTTGGATATTATGGTACTAAAGGGGTTTCCAATACATGAGGTTTTGTATTTTAAATCTGGCGGTGGGGTGCGTTAAAATAAAACAGGGTGGCCATTTCCCCCTGCCAGGAGTCTTTGGGATCTTCTTAGAAAATAACATTAGGACTGTCATCTACCTCATCAGACCCAGACTAGGAAGATCATGACCTGTTTTTGCGGCTGAGGGCTCCAAAGCCCGAGGGATCTCCAAGAACTGATATTGGGACAAGCGTGAAGCACAGCGGCGCCCTCCGTGTCCCACAGTGTGCTACCACGTGCCCCAAGAGACCACCTAAGCAAACCTGAAAGAAAGTCATTTGGAAAAAAGTTTGGCAAATGCCTACAAATAAATATCACGAGGAGGAGGACCTCCCCTATCAGTGGACTAGGGGAGGGGCATAGAGGGGAAAATGGAGGGAGGGTGGGACTGGGAGGCGAGGAGGGAGGGGGCTACAGCCACAATACAAAGTGAGTAAATTGTAATAAATAATATTTTTTTAAATATCATATAAGCACATCTTATTATCATCATGTAGTAGGAGGGAAATCATATATAAAAAAAAAGAAAGAACTGATTTTCATAGATTCCTCAAACATTCCTTAAAGCCAGTTTTTGTTGAAGCATGAGGATGATAATGGAAGTCAGGCTGCATTCCTGAGAATGAAGAAATAAGCTACACTCTGCTCAAGCAAAATTAGAAATGAAAAATACCTCCTTCTATCACTCTTACATTACTCACTGGGGTTTGGGCCCTTTAACAGTGGAGAAAAGAGTGAGCACTTTGGAAATCAGAAAGAGAAAATATTTGGACTATTCGGCGAGAACCTGATTCGTAAGTCTTCCAAAAAAGAATGAGAAGATGCAGTTCTCTATACACTTGATATGCGGCTAGTGCAACCCTGGCCTTGTGACTCTCCCCTCTGGAGTTTACTCCTTCAGATCAGTTGCCAGTGTGGTCTGATGGAATTACTTGGCTTAATATTCATGGAGTTGGGACACTTAAAGGGAGGAAATAAGTATGGCTAAATATATACAATGCATTTGAAATAGGTAAAAGAGAGAACCCCAGACACTCAGCAATCATTACCTGGAAATTAAAGAGGGCAGAAGCAATCCTATTATGCATTATAAACAGCCCAGCTGCCGACTTAATGGTAGCTTGAGTAGCATAACCAAGGAGTCCTTGCTCCAATATTAATAGGAAGGGTATTGTACGAATCCAATAGTTCATGAAATTAACAAGGAAAATGAACCAGAGTTAAGCAACCTGGCACATAAGAGAAGCCATCAGCAATTGCTCCCCTGAAGCACACTGAGCACTTAAAAAGAGCTTGGGCAAAGCACATGTATATAAATGAGGATGGCATTTTTGGAATTTTTTCAAATAATACTTTTCACTTAAATAAATTTCGAATATTGTGCCGGACATAGTCTTTTAAAGAAGAAACTGTTAACTCAAAATGTCAATAAGTGGTTATGGGCTATGATATCTGACCTGAAGAGATTGGCAGCTATCATTTGTGCCAGCATAAAACCACCATAATTCTGTGACTTTGCAGTGGTCAACGTTAGTCCCACTTCAATTTTAAAGAGATAAGTACTTCAGCTTATCAGAAAACTATTTCCCTTCTATAAGCTTGGGCCTGCCTGAATGCCCATTAACAAGCTAAGAAGTGGAGTTATTTCTACTTACAAACCAATAGACATACGATGAAAGAGAATCGTGTCCGGGCAGATGCTTCCAGGGACAATGTGACTGAAGCTTGCATTAGTCAAACATGTGTCTGAGAGGGTTTCCATAGAAGCAAGAATGTGACTTCCATTTTTCCCAGACAGGGACCCATCCAAGTCTTCCAAAACTGCTGCATGAGGAAATGGAAATGCTACTAAATTTGGAGAGTTTGCAAACTTCAAATGCCTGGTCTTCACAATAAATCCACCTACAAATTAGAAGACAGACTGTTAAACATGACATGACTCTAAGCTAAATTCACAAGACTCCTTTCAGTACTTTCTCTAGAATGTTACATAGTTTTACAGTTCATTCAGTCATTAATCTAAGAAAAAAGGAACACAAGTGTTCCCTTATGTCACATACATGCTAGAGATATTGGGAGCCAAGAATAGCATGGCAAAACAGAATTCAGTTTGTTCTGTGGGGCAGTGATTTTACACCAGGGGTTCTTTCATTCTCCAAGAGACACTTGGCCATTCTTTGGTTTTTCACATCTGTCACGTTGCTGGTGCTACTTAAAATTGGAAAGCATGGCCAAGACATGCTGGTAATTTTCCTACAATAAATAGAACTTTCTTAATAACAGAACAGTTGCCCCAAATACCAAGCATACCAGGTGAAGGGTGGGGGTGACTCTTCTTTTAAGAAACAGAAACAGCAAGCACTAGTTCCCTGAGCACTAAAGATGTTATACTCTAGTCTCTTCACCTTTCAGCTTCCATTCCACTGTCATAACCCTGACCTCATCAATAATACCTCAAACTATGAGGCTTTCACTTTAATCGCTTACTTTAAAAACCAACATTCTATTGGCCTAGTATAAGTAGTATTAGGAGCACACACATTATAAATATTAGCTCCAGGCCGCACTTCTTGGCACATACTCTGATATCACCACCACTGCCAGCCCACCTAGTTAGGAAAATGCTTAATTCACGCATCCCTATCACTGAAGGGGAAAGTACACAATATCCAATACATACATGGCCATACCATTGTGCTAACTACGTTGTTAAAAAAAATATGAACAAGATGCACAAAGACGGAACATTTTCATTCTGCTTACCAGTGGATTACATGCAGTGAAGCACATATAATCTATATTTCGTAATGCATATAACTTACTAATATCATAGTACCCTTGCCTCTCTAGTGTCCTTATGTTGTACATATGTTTCATTTCCCAAGAAAAGCCTGATGTATGAAATCTCTAAGATTTTGCCAATGCTATTTTTAATACTTAAAAATCATCTTTCTTTCCTGTTGTAGATTTCTATCAGCCTTTGAAGCCTCGCAGGAGAGTCACCCCCTCCAACGCACACCCACCCGGGTCCTTCACTGACTGTGATCACTTCACCCACTCTTCTCATCACTCTTCTGAAATTGCACTCTCGGATATTTGATTTTTTTAAAAAACTATGGTGTTTTCCATGTTTGTACCCTCTAGTTCCTTATGCAGAGTCAGGAATAGGCAATTTTTAAACAAATGAAAAGAGTATTTACCCAACAATATCCAGTGACAAGATTTTTTTTTTCGGTATCTGATGAATGACATGAAATCATGAGAGAACTGGAGAACTATGAACCGAAGTGTTTGCCATAGGGCATTTTAATATTCCTATGACTGCTTCACAGTCTTATACTCAAATCCCCCAATGTTTGGCTCTGCCTACATAGGGGTAAAATAGTAAAGTGGGAACTTGCTGATTACTCATTTAATTAACAAAAAACAAACAATTATCTAAATTGGTGATTCAAACCACAAGAGCATATTTACTTGAATTACTTGGTTTGGCTGTTTACAATGATCAGATCAACTAAATCGTTCTCTGCCTCTTTTTACGTTGGCCCAGGAGTCCTCCAGGAAGTTATTTCGTACCACTCTATGTCACAGTTAACAAGTCATCAAGAATTGCCCTTGTTTTCTTTGTGTACACATCACAGCCTAAGTAATTGAAAGCATTAAGTAACCTGGCTCTAACTCTTTCAGCAGAGGTGTGTGCAGGTCAGTTTATGTCTATGTGTCCATCATCCAATTTCATTTTTTCATATTATGGATAAGCTCCTCATTATAGGCAGCAGCCTTTCTTCCACACACTATTTTTAAAATGGGCACTAACCAAGAGTGATGCCTCTGCTCTATGAAGCTGAGAGACTAGATGAGTGAGCCATAGAAACATAATAACAGGATGTGACACTCACTGAGACATTACAGAGCATGGGAACTCCAGAAGATGGGGGGAGCACCTATCCTCTTGAATCCCTCTGTGAAACTTGAACAGTTTCTGTTGATATAATCTTACAAGTGAAAGAAATATTGACTCATAAAGCTTCTGCCCCTATTTGTCATACTCACCTGAGCACTGGTCTTGTTTACCATTCGTTCTGTCTGTTCAAACTTACCCTGTCCTTGGGAACAGCCAGAACAGGTTCTGATGGCCACACAGTTGAGATCAAAATTAACGAAAGTTGTATTAGAAACCAGCAGTTCCCATCTTTTGGGAGTTTTAATCCCAGCTGACATACATAGACTTCCCTGTTATTTTTTGAAAACAGAAAGAAAAGGAAAAAAAAAAAGTAAGACTACCAGTCATATGAAATGTAGTCATAATATACAAGTAAAAATAGTTAAAACAAGAAAATTACAAGATATGCTCTGAAATTATTAAAACAAGAAAGATTATATAGCCAACTTAATACTCATATTTATGAAAAAAGAACTTATATCTAGAAAATAGAAAGAAAACCATAAATATCAAAAGTGAAAATATAACTTAAAATTAAGGAAAAAGTAAAGACATAACTCTAGAGTGAAATGTGTCCTGATAAGTAGCCACATTTAACATCATATAAAGTAGCAAAATGTAGATAAGACACATAACTATTAGAATTTTCGACTTTTTTAAAATGACGGTATCAAGGAACTATGAAGCTGATGTCCTTCTACTAAATGGAATGGCTTGCAATGGAAACCACTTTGGCAGCTCCTCATCATGTCTCATGAGACACAGTCACTCAGTTGCTGGGTAATAACCTTATAGATATGAGAAGTGATAGTCTCATAAAAATCTTACCTAAATGGTTGTACCAAACTGTTTATGATCCCCAGGTCTAAACATAGCTCAAATGGTTTTCAACAAATGAAGAATCAAAAGAACCATTACAGCTGGGCAAAAGCATAGAAGTCATTAAAAATAAAAAATAAAACACTAATAAATACAGCAAGCTAAATGAATCCCTAAATATAATTGGCAATGAAAGAAGCCAGCTCCAAAGGATGCATACCATATGATCTCACTTATGTGATTATTGAGCAAGAAGCCATCCCAGAAGAGAGTAGATTATGATGGTTCAGTGTCAGTAGTGAGTAGAGGATGTGGTTAGCGAGATGAAGCCTCAGGGAACAGAGGCTGAGACAACTCTTCTGTATATTGGTTATGGTAGTTCCAGTGACACAAATGTATACATGTGTTGAAATGAAGAAAAGCACATCAAATAGTTTAACTTCTCTACAGATAATACAGATAAAGAATATTTTTAAAATTTCAAAACTGAAACATAACTCTAAGATATTCCTTACAAAAGCTCTTCAGCAAAGCCCATTCAACAAGCTTTGAAATGTTCCATTGATAAACAGAGACTCGCAACTGACAACTATTGAAGTTTTTTTAATTCCAATACTAAAAACAGCAACAAATATAAACAACAGAAGTAAATACTCAATGCATATAAAGTTAGTATAAAAATAAAAAAATGAAAACATGATCATTAATAAAATGTTATTCCTAATAAAGTCAGAGTTGAAAACATCACAAATACATAAAGCGGTGGCTGACAGCTGAGGACAGCTGACAAGCAAAGGTTTTTCACACAGGAGTGGCTCTATTACAGGAGTTGATACATTACATTGCCTGAACCAGAGGAAGTATCATCCCATCCTGGGCATGGGCAACAGAGTAATGGCAAGCTGTAGAACTGCCTTCAGGACCTGGGAAGATGGAATCTTAAAGAACTGAGTGTAAAAACATAGGTAAACAGAAATGCAAGTAAGATGAAGCAGACAGAAAAAAATGGGGTTAGGCGGAAAAAGAGGTTGGATAATGGAGAAGACTGTAGAGAAGACAGATGAGTAAAATACCAAGCGTACTGAAACGTCTACGAAGACGCTTTGATGAAACCCTACTTTGTACCTTAACTTAAACAATTAATTGATAAAGAAAAATGTCCAATGGGAAAATATCTGAATGGGCAGTTGAAGTGAATGATCTGTTCTGAGATGCAAGACTTCTGCAGAGCACAGAGAGGTAAGTGCTCATGCAGAAAGTTCCTGAAGCTCCGAGTAAGGCAGAACAGCTCCTGTAGAGCATTCCATTTCACTGCTGAATGGCTCTGGGGAAATGTGCTTTAAGCCTGAATTTTCCCCCACGGAATGAGTGAGTTGAATTACATGAGCTCTGAGTATAAGTTTTAAAGCTCCAAGAGTCTATACAGATATTTTTAATGAGAAAAATAAAGGAGAAAATAGTTAGAAACTGTCAAATACCAACAATTCCAGCTGCGAACTCAATAAACACAATTTGATCGTGAGAAAATGTTTGGTACAATCAAAAAATGGGATAACACACAATGGCTGGAATAAATTACTACAGCACAGGAAGAAACAGACAACGACCATGGTCATATTATTGTGCCAAAGAAACCCCAGAACAATAGAGTTATGTGCTCTGTGACTCTGTTATATCAAATAACAAGAAGAAAAAAAAATCAATTCATATCACTAGGAGTCTGAATCATGGATCCCCTTTAGCTGAAGAGACTTGAGTTTAGATCTAGGAATAGAAAAGGGTCCCTGCAAAGGAAACGGGTAGTCTTTCTTATCTGGGTGGTATACAGTTCATTTGCTTTATAAAGAAATCATGATCATTACTGTTACACACATACATACACATATATGCGTGTGTTATGCACACATATATAAATCCAGCCTCCTGAATCCTTTTTCGTTGTTTGTGTGTATTTGGATTCAGGGCTGACCACTATGTATTGTATAATGCTCATCCCTGGGAGAAGCTAATTTTCCCTCTTCTAACAGTAATTAGTTGCCGATAGTTCTTTGTCCAGGGAAAAATGACTATCAGTTTGAGCATTGGAGGGGGTATGAGAAAGGTTGAAGAGAACTAAGGGGAGGGGAGTGATGTAATTCTATTTTAATTAAAAATGTATTTACAAAACACATTGTGTGCTTTTCTCTGTAAATACTTCCATACAACATTTACTTTCAAAGAGAGGACCAACAGTAAAAACAGCAGAGGGTGACAGCGTAGGTAGAGAAAAAAGGTCAACAAAGTCCCTTCCCTAGATCAGAAGCTTCTGGCCCTTAATGGCTGCTGGGAAGGAGAAAGAGAGTTTTCTTCTTCGAGGGAGTGGTCCCTGAGAAGCCACCCATGTTCCAGTGGATGGCCCTATGTCCTTGCACATACAGTGATCACTAAATGGACTCGGAGGGTTTCTAAATAAGATCACATGAAGTTAGGATGGTGGATAAAGGTGGAGTTGGAGCAACAGCAATAAAGGAGTGGACTTGATAAAAACACGCTATATGCATGCATTCAGATCTTTGGCATTAAGAAAAAAAGAAAAAGAAAGAAGTTTAAAAAATTGAAGTCTGGGATTGCTGAGGTATGGTTTAACATCGTTAATATAATTACAGCATCATCACAACCAGCAGGCATGTTAAAATTTTAATCCCAATAGCTAGAATGTCAAGGCATAATGAGTATGTGAGAAATGAGAAAAATATCTTTGAAAAGATGCAACACAGGACAATACAAATCAAGTTAGAAAAGTGAGGGGAAGGAAAACAAAAATAATGATTAAAGCTGAAAGCACAAAATAAGACGGTAGAAAATGCAAATACATGGGACACATCAGCATGGATGGTAATTGAAACCACGAGAGAAAATGAGATTTCTCCCAGCGGGAGCAAGCATATTGAGAAAAGAGGGGCCCTGCAACAGAATTTAGAGAAACGAAAAAGATGAAAGGTCTAAACTGGGGTAGACAAATCCCCCAATGAAAATGAGAAATAACCCCTGGAGAAAACAGAGGAAGAATGAAGCAGCCCCACCAGCAGCTGCTGGACATTTTAATTCACACTTTTATTGTAAACATTTTCAGTGAACGAAGAAGCTGAAAGTATAGAGAATTTTCTGCTTAACAAAGATTCAGATTCACCTATTCACACTTAGCCATCTTATTCATATCAACTACATTTGCTGCTAAATCATGTGAATATATTATACTATAAATACACATATAAACATGTATCACTGAAGCACACATGTGATATAACCATGATGCTACTTTCACACCTGTAAAAATGGCTGGCCGCTTTAAACAAATACCATATTATTTCCAATAGCGACAAATGGACAGTTGTCCTGCAGATACTCAGGAGTGTAGGGAGACCATAATTTAAATCCAAGCCAGGGTGTTTCTAAACACAAAAGGGGGTGAAGGCTAGATAGGATGCTGAGCAGCAAGCGTGAGAAACTGCCTAACAAAACTAAGATATGGCCGATATGGCCCAAACCTTTCTTCTTGAATATTAAGAGTATTCTTTACATGTGAACACATGAGTAATACAGTAGATGAGAGCACAAACACAAATACTCTTAATTCTACTTTACTAACGAGAAACATAAACTAATATCTGTTGGAGGATACGACTATCTTCCAATAATTGTAAGCTAACAATTAAATGTGAATGAGAAGGACAAATTCTCTGAAGAATCTTGATTCTCCAAAGCTAGGCACGGATGAAAGACAGAAGCTAAAATCTTATTCCACAGTAAGCCTAGCACCCTCCTTGCACTTTTTTTTTTAAAGGTACCTGACAGCACCAATAACTCCAAAATAAACTTTAAAAATCCATTCATTGAAAATTAATTGTTATATTTTCTGGTGTCATAGAATTGCTCAGACCTTATGATCCTTTTTTTTTTTTGCACATTTATTTTATTGTGCGTTTTTAAGAATTACAGGACCGTAGTGTCCAAATAGACAGTGTAAATAGTTGTTGTAATGAGAACAATGAACATATCTCTTATTCCACTTAGTTTTGTTTGTTTGGAAAAAAAAGAGTAGCTAAAATTTGTCTGTTTAGCAGAAACTGAGAATGTGTCCCAATCTGATTAGCCGTAATTCTTATAGTGCATTCTACATCTTTAGACTTATTTGAGATTGTACACCCAAACAGTTTCACATTAATGGCATAGGGTAAATGAAATTAACCAAACGATGTTTATTAAAACACTCCCCTGGAACAGGATATTTATAGAAAATACTTCAGAGAAAATGGCATAGCAATTGATAATTGTTTCCCACTGAAGCTACTTCTTACATGTAATCAATAGCACTTGATCACAAACCAGGAGAATAGCAAGCCTGCCCAACCTCTCACAGGATGAATATAGAGCTAGCATTTGCAAAGTAAGCGGATCTCTCCATTTTATTTTATCCGTTAATTCAGCCTAACAATATCATCATCTAGGTAGCAGTTAGATATAAAATTGAATGGTTTTATTATCTGAGTGCCTAATGTTATCTAGAATTCTCTAGAACAAACTTGCTTGGGAGTTTTTATTAGTAAGATTTTTGTCTGCATTTGCTAAGAATATCAAAGGCCGTCAGCTAGACTGTATTCCCAGGAAATAACCTCAAGGGTGTGATTTCTTTTTATTGTCTCGTGATAAGTATCCTTTGGTCATAATTTACATCTTCTGTCACTCTTCCACTAATTATGATGTCTAGTTAACATCAATTAAGAGACTAAAACATTAATTCGCCAGGACAGTTACTGATGGGCATCTTGCGTTAGCATATACTCTAAGGTCATTATTGGATGTAGGGTCCAATGACCTGGCCGCATCCCCTCTGGCAGCCCTGCAGGCTGGAGAGGCAAGTCAGCTCTGAATCAGCAGCACTCAGGGACAAAGAAAACCTACATGAAAGGGATGGCTCAAAGGAGGGTTAATGAAAAAGCTGAGAGCTACAGAAAGGAAAATGTAACTCAATAAGAAAATAATTTAAATACATTTTTTAAATCTTAACTTCTGCTATATCTGTGAAATAACCTCCATTGTAAGTACGAGAGTCAATTATCCTATGAATTCCTGCTAAATGCATTCAGGAACAAACTGAAGTGAATAATCTCCCCATGGATCCCCAGAGTTAGGCAAGCCTTCTTCTACCTACAAATAGTTAACAGTGTTGTGGGGGCTGGCATTGTTGTCAGTTTGACAGAATCTACAATCACCTAAAAATTACGGCTCTGAGATTGTCTGATAAGGATGAGTTAGATCAAGTTACCTGAGCTGGAAAGCCCCACCCTGAATTGGGGATAGAGTCCAGGACTTTGAAGAAAAAGAGAGAGAGAGAGAGAGAGAGAGAGAGAGAGAGAGAACAAGCTGAGCACAAGCATTTATTTATCACCCGTGCTTCCTGACTGCCGATGCCATGTGACCAGCTCTAATGTCTCTGCTTCTGTGACATCATGATAAGAATAACTTCCAAATGTTAACCAAAATAGATCCATTCAGGCCTTTGCTATAGCCAAAAGACAGGTAAGTAATATCAATGTTATTACTGATATTCATGTGACTCTCTCAGAAATAAGAATATAGGAAATAACTGAAGCCTAAGAGGCCAGGGGTGCTTGGGAACTTCCTTCCAGGAATGGTCCTTTTAACCTGGGAAGTATCTTTTGACTATACTCATGTCTTGGCTATGAAGTGTCCACGATGGGCTTGCATGCTTATGCCTGCTGTAGTATGAGTAGCAGATTTTCAAAGGCCATGGAACCTTGAGGAGGGGAGATGAGTTTAGCAGAAGTAGGTCATTAGGTGAAGAACTTTGAATGTTATTTCCACCCCTGATTCCTATCACATGTTCTGCCTCCATATCTGCTGTGATATGAAGAACATCTATCATAATTTTCAGCCACCATTCCTTCCCTACCATAAAAGACTATAAGCCAAAACAAATCTTTCCTCCCAAAGCTGTTTGCATCACATATTTTGGTCATGGCAATACAAAAAGAAGTCATATGATTCCTTGGAGTGTATAATATGGGAAAAACCATCTAGAGGCTAATTTTTATAATACACAAACCCATATTTATTGAAGTCACATATGAAATTTTATCACACACATTCCTTTTTCTCAGCTACCAATGCTGGAGGCACTCTCTCCCTGGAAACCCACTGGACAAGCAGCGAAAGAATGAGGTAGGAAATCTTCGTTCTTCTTACTGTCCTCCAGTTCCAGTTCCTGGTCTCATCCACATCCCTGTGGTAGGCCACCTGCAGGAACACATCCTCCCTTTCTTTTTCCACTTCCTGGGGAGTCCAACAGATCCTCAAGGCAAACCTAGCTTTCTTCCATCCTATGGACACTGCGCTTCTAGCCCACCCCTGTCGTCTAACCCACTCTTGCCCTTCCAGGCCATCCTCATTCCTTTCTGTCAGTTCCCAATACCTAGAAACAGATTCTGGACCACCTAACCCTAGTGTCCACAGCTGGAGGGTACACAGAAGCACCCATAGCCACCACATTCTCCTAAGACCCAGAGAGGTGAACAAAAACCTCACCCAACAAAATCGCATCACACAATAACAACCTATGTAAACCTGAATAGTCTGACCTACTCTCTTCAGGGTAACATGCTACATGGGATAATGATAAGGAAATTTGATTAAAAAATTTTTTTAGAACATCATAGCAGAGGGACAGTACGGCCTTCTCCTATTCATAGTCTTTGAGAAATTTAAACTAGAAGATGAAACTAACTCTTTAAGATGAAGAATTATTTGTTTGCTTTTGGAGTTTCATTTTGGTCCCCAACCTTATCTTAAACTTGTGTCAAATCCCCTGCCTCAGCCTCCAAATTATGGGTGGGATTATAGTTGTGAGTCATGACACTCAACTTAAATTCTTAGGCTTAATATTGAATTTGCATACATAAAAACTTACATTTTAAAAATTGAAAATTCCTCAGACTGTTACTAACTAATGATTTACATGGACTCAATACTGAAACTCTAAATACTTGAATAATATTGTAATATTATCATCATCTTCCCCACTTACCATGATTCACTACAAATTTCTGCTATAATTATGTACTAGGTCATCAGGGAGACCAGCATACATGATTCTGTCTTGATGGACAGCCCAAAACCACCTCAATAAGGCACCTACCTTGTGGGTGAAATGACCAAGTAAAAAGCTGTCAGTAACCAAAGTATTTGCATCACTTTCCAAAATTTCAATTCCAAAATCTCTGCATGCATAAACTTGGAAGTTTTTCAGGTGTAGATTGTTACTTCTAAAAATCTATAAAATAACAGCCTAAGTTATGCCAAAGGTCTAAGGATCGGTTTTTCTCACAGACATACTAAGACCCCTTTAATTATTGATTAGGTATAAATAAATAAATAAGTACACTGGCATATTTTAGCAGGTTTTGTCTATCAATATCAGTACAGACAACTCAAAGAAGCTAACAAATCTCTTTGGAAATTGCATTTCTTCTCTAACAGGCAATACATTAAAAGGCTGATGTGAATTTTCCACATATTTAAAACAATCTTACAGTCCCCAAACCTGCAAGATTAATTCGTAAAAGCATAGCATTCAAAAGCTTGAGTGTTTAACGTTTTAATACAACATTAGAAGAGCTAGTCAGTAGATGCCAAATATAAAATCCATAATTCAGTGTGTCTACAGGTTCCCTGTGTGTGGATTTAACATATGTGTACATATTTATGAAAACGTAGGCTAGCACCTCTACAGAATGATGGAGGAGTAACAAAGCTTAGTAGATTTAAAAGAATCCCATATTGGAAGAAGGAGAAAACAGGGAAAGGACAGAAGCCTACCACAGAGTGCCTTTGAATGAGTCTACCCAGCAGGGTATCGAAGCAGATGCTTAGACTCATAGTCAAAGTTTGGGCAGAGTACAGGGAATCTTATGAAAGAAAGACCTGGAGGGAGCAGGAGCTCCACAAGGAAAACAACAGAACCAAAAAATCTGGGCAAACAGGTCTTTTCTGAGACTGATTTTCCAACCAAGGGCCATGTATGGAAGTAACCTAGAACTCCTACACAGATGTAGCCCATGGCAGCTCAGTGTCCAAGTTGGTTCCCTAGTAAGGGGAACAGGGACTGTCTGACATGAACTCAGGGGCTGGCTCTTTGGTCACCTCCCCATGAGTGGGTAGCAGCCTTGCCAGGCCACAGAGGAAGACAATGCAGCCAGCCGGTCCTGGTCCTGGTGAGACCTGATAGTCCTGGGTCAGATGGAAGGGGAGGAAGACCACCCCTATCAGTGGACTTGGGGAGGGGTATGGGAAGAGAGGAAGGAAGAAGGGTGGGATTGGGAAGGGACAAGGGAGGGGGCTACACCTGGGATACAAAGTGAATAAACTGTAATTAATAAAAAATAAATAAAAGTTTTTAAAAAGCATCCCACTCTTTTGGGATGCTCTTACTACTCACCTTGTTCTCTAAGTAGCAAGGTGGTCTTGGGCAAGGTGATCTTTAACTTCCCTAGGCCTGAGGTTTGTCGTCTTTAAAACCAGGACCAACAGACGACCTAACAGTCATCTCTTGCTCATTAAACTGTATAATATTTTCATTCATACTTGAATTGAAAGTGTCCTAATAAGGCCTAGGTGCCCTTGACAAATGATATTATCGTACTTTCATATGTCACTCAGGTTTTGTGCATGAATTTCCTAATGTGTCTGCATGTAAACATTTTATGAAATAACAGTTCTTTGAAGATGAGTCTCTAAGTGCAAACCAGGTAAGGCCTGAACTGACTTGACAACAGCTGCTACCTGATTACAGAAACCCACAGGTAACTCATTTGCCCGAGATTAAAAAAAAAAAAAAAAAAAAAAAAAATCTCTGGTTTTACGTCATAAACTAGCAAAGTCTGCCTATTTGAGGTGTGAGCACAATTTTCACAATGTACTATCATTTTTCTTTATTACAAAAGAAATACTATTTTTATGAAACTTGATGGAAATAATCTTTGGTTCAAATCAATAGGTCTCATCTATGGGACTTGAAAACGTATTCCCCCATGCACAAAAGTTAAAAAAAAAATAAACTAAACTAAATATTAAATGCAATTAGGATCTCCTTGCAAGCTATCTTAATCATGTATGATTTTCTTCATTCAAAATTGTCTTCCTTTTATTAGGAATTTGAATAAATGTTTGTCTTTCACTGTGCTTTTTGGTTTTGTTCTAGTCACTAACGATAGTTCCTCATCTGTGCATTCTAGGCTGCAGGTTTCTGAACTGCAGACACTGAATGCATGGAACTTTCTCTTTGTAGTATTGGTGACCCTGGTAATTTTAGTTGTTCCTAATAAACAGCAGGCAGGCAAAGTTCCCTTTTAAAAAGTCACTGTGGTGATTAAAAATAAATGAGTAAACATGAATCTATTTTTTTTTCTTTTGAGAAAACTAAACACACTGATTAAAGTAAACGACAGCTAGAACAGAACTATTTTCCTTTGGTAAGCCATGTTCTTCTTAAGAATGAAGAAGTCATTATCCAGGGCATTATACACCCAAACACATATCTGTGTCGGTATGTTCCTAATCAAGTGTGTGACAGTTGGCAAATCCTTTGCTTTCTTACTTTTCACTTATTGGTCCTAAGTAGGAAATGGAAGGGACATATACATGAGCTTCTACAATCGACACCTCCTGACTATATATGTCCCTAAACCCCTTGTGGAATTTGTTCATTCAAATCCTCACACTCACAGAAATACACACACACACACACACACACACACACACACACACACACACACACA